GATAATTAATTCAATATAGCTTTCAAAGCTATTCATTCCCAACAATCCCCCACTTAAATAGTTTGAAACTATCTCTGAGCATCAACAGTTCCATAAGATCGGGCATAAGCTAAGGTATCGCGAAGATTTGAACCTTAGCGTAGTGGTTACACTTCCGATTTCATAAGGGTGACTCGTAGTCTTGAACCCTATCTCAGACAATGTAGCACACCGGATCTTTTCATTGAGTGATATTCTCTCATAGGCCGTGCGTTTATGGCCATGCACGTTATCCCGGTTTAGTGAACGCTCTAGCAACTTTGTGCCTCCAAAGTTCCATAGGGAGCGGCCCCACTCCCACATTCACATAGGTGAGTCTATCAGAAGTACCCCCAAAGTAAAGTACTTCACTCCACATAGAGTATAGATCTCATTAAAAGTTTAACTCAACCTTCAATGCTTTGGGATTCATGCTTCACTATGCATGAACTTTTCTCAATATTACTCATGACTTGTTATTACCCATTGAACCCGTTTCTTGGGATCTCCAGTCTATCGGGTCGGGTTACCATCACTTGTAATCCGTGGTTCGGTAGGCATAAGTCTCATACCCTTTGTGGTATTTTGGACTTTCTCTCTAGGTAATCCTTTCGTCAAAGGATCAGCTAGATTCTGTTCGGATCTTATATGATCCACCCTCACTGCTCCTATCGTTAGGAGTTCTCTTATAGTACTGTGCTTACGACGAATTTGTCGTCTCTTTTTGTTCTAGAACCGGTTCCCTTCTTTAGTAATAGCTGCGATGCTATCACAATGAATCAACTACCGGAGGGATCGGTCTTTCCCATGAGGGAATCTCTAGTAATGACCCTCTCAATCAACTTTTCTCTTTACTAGTCATTGCTAGCTCTATCATTTCTGATTTCTTAGTTGATTGAGCCAGGATCGTTTACTTCTTAGAATTCCAAGACACAACACTTCCAGTGATGTTTAAAACATGTCCACTGGATGCCTTGGAATCTTCTATAGGGTATTCTCGCCCGCATCAATATACCCTAACAATACAGCAAGAAACCGTTGATAACTTATATCAAGGTCTACTGTTCTTAAGGTGTCTCATGACCCCTTTCAATAGCATTTCAATGCTTCATACTAGGACAATCAGTAAGCCTGCCAAGTTCCCCCCACTAAATCGGGTATCATGTTTATCACCTGCCTCCTGCAGACTGTAAATGCTAGTATATTCTAACTTTCTTACACCGTCTTAGGTGTTCTTTAAATATTTATACGAGCATCATCAAACATGTATGCAGATGTACATCTTGTATTTTCCTAGCTATTAGGATCTCTAAGCATAACATTTATTTCATTCAGATCCTTCACATTCAAATTTTCAACCATCATGGTTTTTCAATATTGACATTACGAGTCTTTGTACCAAAGATCGACGTGTCATTCATAATGCAAGTGTCATTCTCAAATTTGTACTAAATGCACTTGTCACTTTCACTTTTAAAACCATGAGAGAGAACCAGTTTATTCATGCCATCGTCTTAGAGTCTATTTCAAATCTTACAATGATTTGTCTAACTATAGACTCCTTAAGCATGTTCAATAATAACAACCTATAGGTTGTCCCATGTAGATTTTCCTATCTAAATCACCATTCACAGAAACATGTTTAACAATCCATCTGACGCACATTACTAGCAATCAGAACATACATGGATGTTATTCTACATATGGTAAATAGATAACAAGAAAATTTACAATTTTTCCTTTTCGTTTGAAGCCTTAGCTATTAGGCGATCCTTATACTCATAAACTAAACCAATAGGTTTCACTTTTCTTTTAAGATTCCATTTATTACCCATGACTTCATTGCCAAGAGGTAATTCTCAAATGCCAAATCTTGTTCGATTCTATCGATATATTACCCAAGGCTTTTCAACTAAGAGGTAACTCTACAAGATTTTGAGTCTTATTAGACTCCAATAATTCCATTTCGTTAATAATGGATTCTCCCACAATTTTGCATCTTTATGGAAGTTCGAACTTCTAGCAGACTTGTAGGATCTTTCTTTCTTAGGGTGTAAATAACAAATTCATAACCAAAATCCTTTCGTGATTTATGGTTCATTTGTCTCTTCTGAGTTCATACTCAGATTCATCACCCCCACTAGTTATCCATTATTTCTAATAGTAGGCAGGATATCACCCCCACTATTTCTTAATATAAGTGGAATCTATTGGCATCAATGGTTTTCACAAACTAATGAGTATTTCGTTTCATAGGAGCTATGTGTTTTTATTTTTAACAACATAAAACACACTCATATGCTCTACACTGATTTTCTAACGCTACCACATGCATGCCAAATATAAAATAATCAGTGCAATCATAATGCAATTAGGCATTTCAAACTATTTCGAATAACTAGTTAAACAATCAGAGAACTCTAAAGAGCAATAAATTTTTTATGGTCTTTTCCATCAAGTTTACCCACATAAATCAGATCTATTTATTCTGATTTTCTAATCCCATATTTATGGGTCATTTAGCTTGGATATACAAAATTCATATTTTTCTCAAGCATCCAATAATAATATGGGAATGCGATATAAGATATTCTAATTCTTCACACAGACACACTTGGAAGAATTTATCTTATCTACTTAACCATTTCTCACGTCTAGGATAGTCAATGACTTTCTAGAGGCAGGGTTCTCTTCCACTTTTCCAGAACCACCAACAATAGTGGTGAGGGTCTTGCCCAACAACACTTTCTCCTTCAATACGCGTCAATGTATGATTGAGCTTAGCTCGTTTATCACACACATATCTTGAAGCGGTCATATCCAACAACCATTCTTAAGAGTTACCATTAAGGCTAACCTCTGTCATCACCTCAGTGAATATTATTACCAAATCCTCTTCTTTAGTCAAGTTAACACTAGGTTAAACTTGCTCTAACACTTTCGTGTCATATGACCTAGTTCCTCACAAATTTAACAGAGAAACATAACGTCATTCTTAGAGGATTGGGTGACAATCTTATGGTTACCAAGATGGGTACCATTCTAATTGGTGTGGATCTGGTTCAGCTTGCTGCTCTCGTTCTTGAAACTTTAATGTTTCACAACAATCTAAGTGGTTCGTGTAGTACTGATAATAGTACTTTTTATAATATCGTTATTATGGGCAATAAGCCCATTCTATTCCCATATATTCTTCACATATATCCATGCATTTAAACAAAATCATTCTACTCCACAACATGTATTCAATTTATACACTAATCGTCGAGGTAATGCACCTCAATATCGACATATACATGCATCAATTCTATTTTAACTTTTCTTCATTCATATGATTCTCAATACCATGCATAGAATTGAGTCTAATTTATCATTAATTAATGACTCGCGAAGAAGAATGTTAAGATTCGAACCTCTTTTCCGAGAAGTCACTCCCCTTTGATTTTATAGCAAATAGCTGTCATCATATATAGCTTCTTTCGCTCCCAGTAATCACCGAGAGCCCTGCATCTTTCCTTTCGAGATCCGCTTCCCTGCATCTCTGAGTTTCACTCTTTTGTTAATGAACTTCTCCATTTGCTAGCGATGTCGTCCTGTCCAGTTTTCACACTAGCTAGCGGCAACTAATAGACCCAAGAGGAACTCATGTTGTCCAACCTTCGTGTGCAGCGTATAGTCCTCTCCTCTGGGATTCGGGTGGCAAAAACCAGTGGAGGTGCCCATCAGGAACACTTACACAATTACGGAATCCGGCCTCTTCCATTGCAAGCTTGTCCAATTAATTCACCTTCAACAATGATAATATCATCAGCTCCCTTTATATCATCCAGCTCGTGGAATATCTTTTCGGTATCCTTTTCCTGCCAAAATCTCATAATCCATAATTATCAAATATGCATCACAACTCCCAATAGGGAAGAATACTCCCTTTCTGATTAAGCAGACCGGGGATGGTTTAATTGGGGCCATTCCGAAACCGTTTCCCCATCTCCAGCGACCCAACCGAGAAGTCGCGGTAGCACAGCACCTAGTGTGGATTCGGATCGTTTCGTTTACACAGGGGGAATACCGCAACAACGCTTCCAGGAAGGAGACCCCTTTCCATCGACATAATCAAGCGGGCTCCCTGGTTTTGCCGATTATAGGTGCGGGAACAATAGCGCGATCGGCTTTTGAATTTGAGCGATGAAAACCCTGGAGCCAGAATCGGCATCCTATTCCTATTCGATAGACATAACAGTAATCGCAACGTCTTAAAATTGTTAGAAATCAAACAGAAAATCTAGGGTTACCGATCTGGCTGAGTCGCGGACTAGGTCGCTCTCTTTAAGACGTTCGCGGCACGTCCTCGTTATTCGCACAGCAGACTATCAGCCGGTCGCCTCCAGGATAAAACAGCCATTCTAATTTTCTTGCTCATCGGTTTTGTGCGAAAAACCGGAGCTCTATGAATTCACTCTCTCTCGTGTTTCTGCTCTTCTGAGGTGTGTATAGAGGGTCTGGGGCGTCTCCTATTTATAGGAGTAGGAAAACCCAGAATATTCCCTCTTTCTTTGGGAATATGTCATATTTTAATTAGGGAGATAATTACTCCCATAATTAAAAACATATTATATTAAGATAATTAATTCTAATTATCTCCATAATAGTCTTTTTATTAATTATCCTTCTATTTTCGTATATAGAAAAATAATAGATAATTAATTCAATATAGCTTTCAAAGCTATTCATTCCCAAACCAAACTGTCTCAAACTCTAATGTATTTTTTGGGGAATTAAGTGTTGTATCTAGATGGATTTTTTACTAATTTGTTTCCCCTATATAAGTGACAACCTAGAAGGTAGATTCCCTCTTCATATTATCATTCACGTGTATCCCCACAAGCAAAGCCCCCAATCCCTCTCCCGACCAAATGGCCAACTCTCATCCCATTTCAACTACTCCTCTCTTCCTCTCCATACTCTCCACCACCGTTGCCCTCATGACCATAACCACCATCTCTTCCTCACCGCTCACCACCAAAGCTGCCGCCATCACTAATCCCGTCCACCACCACCACAACCACGACGATTACGTCATCAGCAGCCGAGAAGATCACGGCCCATTCGGAGGAAAACGGCAGCAGCTCACCCACCTCCGCTTCTACTGGCAGAACGACGCCAGCTCGTCCCCCAACGCTACCGACGTGATGGTGGTCCAGCCTGTATCCAACTCCTCCGCCTTCGGCTGCGTCAGCATGATGGACGACCCGCTGACTGTGGGGCCCAGCCTCGGCTCCGCGTTGGTCGGTCGAGCGCAGGGTTTTTACGCCTGTGCTTCCCGGAAAGCGTTCGGCCTCCTGATGGCAATGAACTTGGTTCTCCTCCGCGGCAAATACAACGGCAGCTCCGTCACCGTACTGGGGAGGAACGAGGTGCCCTTGAAGGTGAGAGAGTTGCCGGTGGTCGGCGGCACGGGGGTTTTCAGGATGGCCACCGGTTACGCTCTTCTCACCACTTCTTTCTTTGACCCCACCGCCGGGATCGCGGTTGTTGAGTACAACGTCTACATCTGGCATTACTAGCTAGCGCCTACTAGAGTAGCTACTAGCTATTGCTATAATATGAAGCTCTAGTTGTGTCTGTGTAAGCATGAGAGTTTGGGGGAAATTTTAATTAGGCTTATAATTATGACAAAACTGTATCTCTGTTTAGCAAGGAAATTAGCATAAAGCAATATTTGAAATGCGGAAATAATGAAAACCAGCATGCCGCCGCATCATATTACGTTATTAGCCGCCGAGAATTAACAATAATATCCCACGTCGTGCTTCGGCCGGAAACAGAAGCTCGCCCATCTCTTGCCTCTACTCGCAAATAGACGCCAGCTCCTCCGCCAACGCCACGGACATAACCATCCATCATCATCCCACTGAGGAATTAGATTAGTTGCTAATCTCTAACAACATTTATTTTCTAGCGAGAAAACTTGTGCTTAATTAAGATTAATGCATCTTGACTTTCTTGCAACGATTTTGAAGACACGGCTCACACTTTTTCAAATAAATTTCGAACCAAAGTGTTTAATTGATGGATTTTGAGAAAAACTAAATTAAATTACTCATACTCCTGTGGTGGTTCAACGAGAGCTTCAAAGTACAACTATTACTACATTTCTTTAGAAAATATAAAAACTTGACGTAAGTGTCAGTTTCATGGTTTTGAAAACCTTTGTCTGTCGACCCCTCCAATTATTTATAGGCATGGAGTGGTAACCGCTTTAGAGAAATGGGTGCTTGATAACGTCCACAAGATCCAATACTTGATAAAATAAGTAATGTCAGTCCCCAGCAACAACGCCAAACCTTAATAGGCCTAAAGCGTAACGCCTCACTTCCTAACAAGTAATATAGTGGAAGTACACTAATTGTTTATCTTCAGGAATTGGTACAACGTCAAATTCTACGAATTTTAGATAAGAAAATTATGTATGAAAGTGATTTGAGTGATGAAACAAATATCTGAATGCAAAACAAATTAAACAAAATGCTAAAGCAAACGTCGGTTGAAATCAACGAGGAAAGCTATTGGAGTTCACTTTTCTGATCCATTTAATTCATGATATCTCTACTATCCGGATATCACTTGCTAGCCATCATTGTCGGGAATTACTATGTACTAACAAATTAAATCAAATCCTAGTTTCGTAGTTCAATGAATTAATTATTTAGCCTAAAGACCGATATCCCAATCAAGACCTCATAACGCCTTAATTAGTCCACAGTCGCTTCGATAAGTTACTATGTGACATGAAATAGGTTCAATTATTAGGGTTTCATTGGTGCTAGTAACATGATTAACTAAGAATCATTATATTGGTGGTCAATCAACAGAAAACATTAAACAATTTCACGTAATAGAGATTAAAAGAAAAAAATATGAATCAATACATCAAGTCAAAAATAACTACATGCATGTTATGTTGTTTCTCCAGGTAATTGAAGTTTAGTTGATGATGAAAATAGAACACATTCATAATCATCGTAAAACTAATAAAAGAAAAGAAACGAAACATCAACAAAACAAAACCACAGGTTGTGGTTCGTTTCAAACTGTTGCGCTGGAGCTTGTCCGCTCGCCCCCAAGTTTGCGCTCCAATCGCTGCTCGAGCACCTCCTTGTTCCGCGCGGGTCCGGATCCTGTTAGTATCATTTCCATCAGTAACCCCTTCCTTTGTCCGCACGTGTCAGTAATTTTTTTATTTAAATTAAATACGAGGGAGGCAGTAGGGTAAATTGCACCCACCCCCATTTAGTGCTGACATACGCGGACTCCACTCCCTACCCCATATCATATGGTATAAAATGCTAAAATAAAATTACAAATCCAACTACCACCACATGATATGACTTGGTAAAACACGCTACAAATATTATAAATCTAACTACTATACAATGCCACCATAGTAGAACATGGTAAATCGAATGACCACAAATTAATTATAATTACCATACAATACCACATGGTAGGAGAATGACCATACATAGTAGAACGAATGACCACAAATTAATTATAATTACCATACAATACCACATGGCATAGCTAGTGTGATAATATCAATATATATTTCGTTACCACACTATACCATATGGTATTGTGTGGTAATATCAATATATATTAGCTAAAAGAAGAAAAAGAAAACAGAAAGAGTGAGAGAAAAAACTTGTCTTCTGTCTCGTCTCATTTCCTCCACAATCAAGAACACCAAATGCCAAAAAAAAGCTGAAAGATTGAAATTGAGGCCAACGATTTGATAAAGAGAAGAAACGCAATGAAAAAGGGATGGGTGCAATTTTTCTTCTTCGATTGTGGAGAAAAAATGAAGAAAAAGAGAAGGGAGCAGATCTAGATCTGAAAAAGGAGATTGAGAGAGAGAAAGGAAGAGAAGGAAGAGAGAAAGAGAAATGAGAGTTGAAGAGAAAATATTGTTTCTTTCTCCTCTATTGAAAAGTCAGTCAATTAAATGAGAGATAAATTAAAAAAAATAAAAATACAAAAACGGATAAAAATGCCCTTTCCACCTCCGCTTCCAGCTCAACCACACGATGACTCCATCCCCTAGATCTATTGTCTCTATTTATTACTGATACGTCCATAACCAAGTAGTTACTCTCATTTCTCCTCTCCGATCCCAATTAATCCCGTCCAATTTAATTCCTCCTCCCAGTTCTCCTTTCCTTATTTAATTCTGAACCCCTTAAATCATATGATCATCACCCACTCTTCCGTGTCCCAAAAGGAGAGGAGAAATTCACACACCAAAGATAGAGAAATTCCTCTTCGTGTTGGCTCCTCTCGAGGTCAATAAAAAGAGCCCAATTTCCTCTTTCTCTGAGTGGGTTTAAGCCCAAAATATGAGGCTCTCGTCTTGTCTTTCTGTTGAATGTTTAAGTTTGTCTATGCATCTTCCGTGTTTGCCTGTGTTTCCAACTTTTTGCTTATGCTTGATGTAAAACAAAAAAAAAAAACTTTCTGCTTATGCATCTAGTTTCTTGCTTTTGCACCTAATCTATATCAAAATAGAAACAGAAGGTGGCAATTTTCTAATAAACATTCCAGGATCAGTTAGGCTCTTAGACAAACATTATATGCCTCAAATACATTATGAAATACTCACATTAATCACACAGAATCAAAATGTTTTCGAAAATTATCACTGGACAAGACTCATAAAAATTACTCTGATTCTTGTTCATGTTGTTAAACCAATTATATAGACATCTATCAAATCAAGAGAAGAGAGAATCATGACGTTTAATGAGAGAATCATAATTTCAATAAAAGAAAATAGGCATTTAATGTGAGAAGATAAAGTTAGGTACACATGTGATTTTTTCAAGAAATAGCACTATTTAAATAAAAAATTCAAAAATAGCACCTAGTCGCGAAACATTCCAAAAATAGCACCCTTTTTCGAAAACCGCCACCCTACCATGCGGTTTACACGAAAATCGCTAGGTGGGGGCGCGATTTTCAATGAAAACCGCATGGTTACGGGGCAGTTTTGAAAACCGCACGGGGTGGGGGAGGCTTTGGTCCAAAACCGCTGCCCAACCCTGCTGTTTGGTCCACAATTTTTTTTCCGAACAATCCTAACCTAGGTGGAAACTTCAAACGAACTTATCTCTGTGTTCGGGTATCCGATTTTCAATGAAAACCGCATGGTTACGGGGAAGTTTTGAAAACCGCACGGGGTGGGGGAGGCTTTGGTCCAAAACCGCTGCCCAACCCTGCTGTTTGGTCCACAATTTTTTTTTCGAACAATCCTAACCTAGGTGGAAACTTCAAACGAACTTATCTCTGTGTTCGGGTATCCGATCGTCGCAATTTTTTTTATTTTGCATAACTTTTCGAGATCTTGCAAGCGACGTTCTAAAAAAAATCGTTTGCTGACCCGTACAAGCTTTTTTCCGATTTCATCAAACTTTGGACGGTCATAACTTTGTGCTCCAAAATCCGAATGTCAAAATTTTTTTTTTTCATTTCGCATAACTTTTTTAGGACTACAACTTTTATCATAGACATAATTTCAGAATGTACGTGGATTTGTGAAAAGGGAAGGTAAAGTTATTCCCAAAATCCTGTATATCCAATAATAATTCCTGTTTTAAAAATTTCTTCCTAGGAAAATTTGTAGTCCTTCAAAAGTTATGCGAAATGAAAACAAATATTCATGACGTTCAAATTTTAGAGCACAAAGTTATGACTGCTCAAAGTTATTGAGGATTTTTAGTGTTCAATGACTAAAACTTAGCCAATATGTAATTGTTTCTACAGAAGAGTTGTAGTTTGGTGGTGTAGATGTTGTGCTAAATTTAGTTAACTATTTATATTTTCATGATTCGAACCACCACCTCCACAACATGTTGCTTTTTTTTAATCTTTACTAAATAAAAAGATTTAATATGGGATGATGGTGACCTCTTGCATACAGAGAAACAACTGAACTAGTTATGCCAAGACCACATATGGTAATAATTTAATTTTTTTTTTATTACAAACCGCCCCGTGGCCGTGGGTCTGAAAAACCGCCCCTTACCCGTGCGGTTTTCATCAAAAACCGCGCCCCACCTTGCGGTTTTCGAGAAATTGTACTATTTTTGGAATTTTTTGGGATTGGTTGCTATTTTTGTAATTTTTCTTAAATAGTGCTATTTCTGGAAAAAGTCTGTATACATGTTGAGGTTCAACCACACCCTCCTCCATGGATTGGTGGAGTGATCTGATGGTCACTGCTTCATCCATATTTGTCGTCGTTGCTGGCAGAGCCCCAATCCCACCATTTTTTTTTTTGGCAACAACATCTACCCGTCCAAATTTGAAGCTAGTCACTTGTTCCTCTGGTCGGTCTCTATTCTGTGCTAATAATTATATGGGTGCACGAGTCTTAAACTAATTACCTCTTCAAGATGACATTGCTAGTAGAGTGGCTGACCAAAGTTGTATTCCACAGGTCAGGATATCCTAGCCTAATTCTCACTCGGTTCTATCTAGTCGATCAAGTTTTGGTTGGTAAAAACTAACG